CTAATGGTAATTGATGGTAGCTTTTTTTTCAGAACTATTTTAGGAAACTTTATAAATGATCGATTATTCCATCCCAATTTTTGAGCGATTTTTTTTTAACGTTATTCTTCATTTGTTTTATTTTTCATCTTTTCGACAATATTCTCATCGCATGAGATTCATAGAAAGAAATGTAAACTTGATAAAATAATGGCGTCACCACCGGTTCATTCCAATATAGAATATGGTCTCCACAATAATGTATTATTGGGTAATATTTTTTTTGAGGCAGCATTTCTGCTTTTTCTGGCTACAGCTGACAATGTCAAAACGATATTCATCATCATTGCATTTATCTCTGCATCGGCCACCATATTTTACGCACAACTCGATTCCTACAATGAGAAAATTACACGTTATGACCATTTTTGGCGCAGTTTAGTTTGGTATGCCAATCAAAAATCAATCCAAACGAGAAATCATTCCAACAGATAACACTTTTGGGTTGTCTTCAAATTCACCTGGTGGTTTTTTGACACAGCATTTGTATTCGGGATCCTCCATACAATTGATATTAAGTTCCTCTTCATTTGTACATTGTGGCTTACATTCACCATAGTACTTGTCGCATCTTTCGTAATACTCTAAAAGTGAGGCGAAGAAAACATTTTATTGATTCGAATCAATTTGGTTTATCCGCAATAATTGCGATTTTGTTCAGTCAATCTTGTTTTTACTTTCTGGAACATCATTTTCTCCTTCCAATGAAGCGATAAATGCGGCCGAAATTATGATCAAAACGCTAAATATTGAACTGAATTGCGATTTCATTTCTCGGGAACTATGGATTTTGTGGAAATGTACAGAGCTTAAGCTCACTTTTACACGCCAAATGCAGCAGTCGAACTGTTATCAACGGTATAATGCATTATTATTTATATAATAGTGGTTTGGCTACAATTTTTCACGAATTAGTTGCAGTTGATTAATTAATACGAATTCATCGCAAAGAAAAGTCACGGTTGTTATTTCTAGAATTTTCCAAAATGTGTGTTTTCGATTAGAATTCTAGTATTTATGCAATGAATTACATTGGAAATAAGTAAATGAGCAATCAAAATTTGCAACAGTTTTTTTTATCGTTTTCAGTTGATTGCTCGCTCCGAGAACTTACGTCCATACTCCTTATGCATTGTTTTTCAGTTTGTTTTCAACCAACTTCATTTTTAGCACTTCATGAAAACCGCAAGTAGACCGCAATGTCCTTCCACGACTTACTACGATTGTCTCATGCGCAAATGGACGCAGATGACCAAAGAACATTCGAACTGTCACAACCAAATCATTTGCTGTTAAACTTTGTCTCGCTCTCTCCAACTGTCACACTGACTCGCCTCGTACTGTCGCGTGCATGCACGGTCTTAAAATTCGACTTGGTTTTAATGTTGTATTTTTGAATTGAATTTTTTTTTTCGAAGAGACTCATACCCCAAATTGAAACGAAATCGGCCTCTGCTCAAATATACTATTTTCTTAAAGACCATCATGGTCTTCCACACCTTACCACGAGTATCTCATGCACAAAAATGGACGACCGAAAAAGTCTCCATTCAAAATTTTGACGAAATCGGCGGAAGCGTTCCCGAGATTTCGTGTCTGAACATGAAAAAAAAACAAATCTAATAGCTTTACATTTCATGTAGTGCTTAAAACGACCAATTTTTCTTTAAATGACCAATGTTGGTGGTTCGTTGATGTTCGCACTCAGCCCCAATTAGATTTTGAATGCATTTTTATTCAGATTTTCATACAATTTTTGTGTTTTTCTTTCAATTTTGCTTCTGGCAGCATGCACTGTTCATTTCTGGGCATGAAACATTTGGAAGTATTTTCTCCCGATTTTCACATGCCTTCTTACACTTAGCTCCTTTCATCTTTTCACACATATCCATATCTGAAATGCATTATAAGAAATACTTTAACCAGGTTCACGTCACGTAGAAAAATGTTCGCACAATTCCGATTTCCAAAATACTTCCAATAGTTTGTGACAATGCTACTCACCGGCCTCCCCTAATGCCAGAAATAGAACAGATATGATCATCAAAATGCTGAATATACCGTCGAACGTTAGTCTCATTATGTGTGTTGAATGAAGAAATCAGCAGTAAGGGTGATTCCGATCTGAAAATGTTTCGTACATTGTTGAATATTGAAGAGTTATTCCTTGTTAAATAACAGACTTTATTTAAATCGAGAAAAAACTTCAAAAACCATATCATGAATTTGCCATAGTTCGTTTATTATAAATTGATTTTCAAATAATGTGGAAACCGTGGCTTATACTTGCACTTTTAACAAAGCATATAAATCGATACCAAAGAAAACCAACTATATATACCTAGGTTTTAGAAACGCCTAATCATTTGAAAGAAACAGTTATTGGGTATTCGACACACACCAATTCTGAGTCAAGAGCGGTTTCGTAGAATTAAAATGCATTATTCTTTCAAATGTTAATAATTTGTATCTAAAAATAACGATCGACTTCGCGGATCGTGAGATATGAGTCCCGATTTTTTTAAACAGAGAAATTCGAAAATTCAGTACGAATTTTTAGGATTTTCATTAGAATTTTTTCTCTTTCAAGTTTTCATTCACTGCTCGAACCGACCAACTTGAAATTTTTTTCATTGATTTTGTAATATTCTCATTGGAAAGTGCACATTTAAAACATTCTTTTAGAAAAAAAGAAGCCATTCCATTTGATGAGGAAGATGAAGAACAAAAGTAAGAAAAATCAACCAGTGGTAATCAAATGGTTAAGCTTATTCTGCAGATAGTCAGTGATAAGAATGGGAATTTCTTTAAAGGATTTTCCATAAAAAACGATAATATTTACCATGAATTGCAATGATTTCTTTTATTTCATTTTATCAAACAACTGCTGCAATTGGCAATATTTACAGTTCTGCTTCCTCATGACGTTGGCTGCCCAAAACAGCATACTAACTCTTTTTCACACTTAACCCAATATTCGAAATCAACGAAATACTCGACCTTTTATAAGGGAAAAATTGACGAAAAAAAGTTTCCTTCAACAACCATATCACGAATCAGTCATAGTTCTAGCGAATTTGTCACACAAATCATTCAGTAACATAGAGTTAGGAGATTGCATACTGGGCAAAATACTTTAATCGACATTGATAAACTATTAAACTCTATATAATGTTATTTTAGCTACACTTCATCATGCATGAGAAGCAATTGGCTAGAATTCTCGAAAATTCTACAACACACACCAATTCTGAATTAAGGACAAGTTTTTGAATTAAGCTTATATAACTTTCTAGCAATGCGGACAAATCCAAGTGTTCTTAAATGTTGCACAAGATATTTCTGGTTTTTATGGCCATATGCTCATATCTATGAACTAATCAATTTTTTGAAAATTGACATTTTAACTAGATTTCATCATGCATTTGATACAGTTTACTAACTAATTTGTCATAAATACTGGGATTCCTAAACTTGAGCTAGAAACGTACAATTTTGAATAAGTACTGCCGTCTTCTATAAGTGATTGCAAATGAAATGAAAATGAAAATTAAAAAATTGAATGTAATGAATGTAATATGAGATGATTATGATACATCTATCTTTATCCCGATGCCCAATCATATTGACTGATGACTCAATAAATTCTCTTGAATTCGAATATCTGTAGTTTCCGGAAAAGAAAATGCATTTAGTTTGCGGTTGCCCACATTGGTTTGCATTTCGTGTGGATCGCTGTATTTTATATTTGTTTTTGTTGCTTTTAAACGATTGCGTTTTTTTTTCTTCTTACTTTTTCTACAACCGCGCGCATTTGCTCTATTATGTGATTATATCTCTCTGGACAGATTCACGCAACGGTATACCATGAGTCGTAGATTTCTTGGATTCGTGGTGACGCTACATGGTGTTATTTGTCATTACGTATACTCTATACGTTCAAAGCAGTTCGGTTTTTGTTATGTTCGTATATAAAACAAAGACCATTTTCATTTCGTTCCAGTTGGTGTTTGAATGGTTTTTTTTTCCATGCCTTCAAGAATGATGCGATGCAATCTGGGAACATTTCATTAAATGATTGTTTGAGCTAATTTTACGCATCACTGCATTTAGGCAATCGAAAAAGCGAGTGTGGCAAAATGTAAACCGGGCGGAATTCCAAGTAAATCACCACTTAAATTACGTATTCAAAATTCAAACAGGACGCATTGCTGGTGTTGGATCGTGCACACATTGCCAGTGTCATTTTGCAAAGTGCAATTGAAATTGCAATAGACAGAATAATAGAAAAGCAGGCACGTTTTATTGCTTACGGTACAGTTTGGAATGTTTGTCACCGCACGACCGACGAAAGAAATTCGCTTTGTTTTCTTTTCTTTTGTTGCTTTCATGAAAGCGATATATCGCTAGCCTAAATCGGCAAATATGTGAAGAAATGCCATGTGGTTCGGTTTTTTTTTTAAGGTGCAGTACCTTTTTTGTTTTCGCATCTTAATTTCTATAAACGACAAACACTTTTTTCTCTCTCTTCTGTACAATTCGTTTTGGCGAATCATTTAAATTGCAGGCTTTTTTGTTTGCAACTACATATTTTGTTTGTTTTCATTTAAAAGAAAACCTTATCTCTAATCAGGGCCTGTCCCAGATAGGGCGCAAGTGGTGCGTTGCACCACCGCGCTGGGGCGCCGAAAACGCGCGAGAGCGGAAACTTGTGCAAACTGGCGTTCAATTGCTTAAATTTTCCAAAAATACGTAGAAAAATTCAGGCGTCGAGAGCGCCGAATGCACCAAAAGCATTTGATCAGCTTATATATATATTGAAGTGCCACTTGTATTTAAAGCGCTTTTTACCAGTTTAAAAATATTAAACAATAAGATTTCAGTATTTATTCAACCGACTACAAAATGTATTCAGTTATTTTGAGCACCCTTTTCCATTTAATTCTCAGTAAACATGTGTATTCAAGCGCTATATTTTTGAAATGACAAAAAAATTTTGTAGTTTGCTCGCAGTAATGTATAATGTTTTCAATAAATCTAAAATGCAAATTTTCAGTATTACATAAGGCTAATTTCGTTGGATTTTTTTTTCGTGCCTTTCATATATAAAGTTCATAATATGAACGATACACACAATAGCGTACAGAACTTTTCTAACAAGAAAGTTACTCGTTTTGAAACAATTTTGGATCTATTTCATTTCATCCTAAGAAAAGGGCGCCCTGGCAATTTTGCACCAGGGCGCAAAGAGCGCACGGACAGGCTCTGTCTCTAATATTGTTGAGGTGAAGTAACTGTTTGTTATGCAGCCTCACGCATACGTGCTTTGGCTCATTTCATTCCACCAAGGCGAATATGAGAGAGAGAGAGAATGAAAAAAAGCGAAAAGTTACATTAAAACATACCTCAACACAACGTTGTAATTTTACACAATTTTTTTTTGTTTTTGCTTACGCCTTTTCAGCGAAACATGTGTTCACGATGTTGACGAAGTGTGAGATAGAGAGAGAGAGAGAGAGAGAGAGAGAGAGAGAGAGAGAGAGAGAAATCCATAAACATTCCGAAAATCACACGCAAGCCCGTTGCTGGTGTGTGCATTCTGTGCTGGCATTTTTATGGAGATGTCATTGCAAATCGAACCGCACCTACATAAAACCAATTCGAATTTTTTTTCCCTTTTCATTTGCGACGTGAACACAATTCCGAATGAGAAATCTAGCCACATTTGATGGTATCCCCGAATGCGGAATTCCAACTCGATTTTCGATTACGCTCACCCGACACAACTCAAATATCATGCATTTCTAATTCAGACAAGATACGAAATGTGCGCCT